GAATACAACCTTTACTATTCTTACCAACATAATTGTTCGTAAGGAAAGCGGACCGATCGCGAATCCGCGTCTAAACATTTTATGGTCCTTCGAGCCGGATCTTCGGCCTAGTGGTGACTAATAAGTGATTGAGTGATTCAACAAAGTGTAATCAAGAGCAAAAAACAATGCCCAACAAAACAGCAGTACGTTCAGTGGAACACGCGCAAATGTCGTCGACAGCAGAGCTTAGTACAACAAGAAGCTGGAGAATATGACCAAGGCCTCATCCAGATTCATCTCGATGGAATGAAACACCAATGGGAAACATTCGACGAAATACAATCAAACATCGAAGAACTTGATCCTTCGGAGGAATCACGCAGCTACGAGATTCAAGCAAACTATTACGCAATTGTCAACCGCGCAAATCAGTTGATACAAACAAAACCATCCATCTCACAAACAGTCATTGTTCCAATGGCAGTGAAACTGCCAGAAATGAGTTTGCCAACCTTTGACGGTGCATCAGAATCATGGTTTTCATTTTTTGACATATTTTCATCAGTGATCGATCAAAACAAAGCTCTTACACCAGTCCAGAAGCTCCAATATTTGCGATCTACACTGCGGGGAAGAGCAGCCAGCTGCATTAAAGCTCTCTCGACAACGGACGCAAACTATGCGGAAGCGATAGAGCTTCTCAAAGGCAAATTCGATAACACGAGAAAAAATATAATGCAGCACTGAAGTGCCATCCTGGAAACGCCGAAACTGACGCGAGACTCTCCAGAAAATCTAGGAAACCTTGTGGACAATATCAAACAACATCTGAGAGCCTTGAAAAATCTTGGTGAACCCATTGCAACGTGGAATTCGTTATTAGTCACCACTATTCTGTCAAAGGTCACGCCTGATACAGTCTGGCAGTGGGAGCTCACCCTCAAGGACAAGGAAATGCCCACCTATACAGAGCTCCTGGAGTTTCTGGAGAAGCGGGCTGACTGCGGCGTGGAGATAAAACAAAAGATTCCCATCAAACAATCTGGATCCGACAGAACGCGGCCTTCGCGACAAGGTACATTCGTGACCAAAAACCAACTGCAGTGCTCGGTTTGCGAGGACACATACGGAATCTGGGCATGCCAAATGTTCAGAGACAAGGGGGTCTCTGATCGCATCATCATCGTCAAAGACGCGTCAATTTGCACTAACTGCCTGCGCGACAGTCACACAATCGAGCAGTGTCAATCAGGTTCGTGCCGAGTTTGCCACCGACAACATCACACGCTGCTACACATGCTCGGAG